GGAGGGGGCTGCTTTTTCTGGTTGAGAATGGGAGGAGGGGGAGGAGGGATTCCTGTTGAGCCGAGCCGGGCCGTGGCGGGCCGCCGCCGTGCCGCCGTCGCTCGCGCTTCAGGCCTCAGTGTGTGCAGTGGCGCGATCGGGAGTGGACGTGAAGTTGGTGCTGTGCCCGTGCGCCCGCGCGAAGTGACTGAGAGTGATTGAAGTGACCGACCGGTGTTGTGACAGTGCCATGGCGCACGGAGTGATGGAGGAGTGGACGGACCGCGACAGCTGCGGCAGCGAGAAGAGCCCCGGGCCCGCCCAGGGCAGCGCCGGCGCCTCCGGCCGCGTCATGGGGTCGCGGCGCATCTTCCCCCCGCAGTTCAAGCTCCAGGTGCTGGACTCGTACCGCCAGGACCCAGACTGCAAGGGGAACCAGCGCGCCACCGCCAGGAAGTACGGCATCCACCGGCGCCAGATCCAGAAGTGGCTGCAGATGGAGAGCCACCTGCGGAGCATCGCGAGTGGAGGCGGCGGCGGCGGCAGCGCCAGCAGCGGCGGCGGCTCCTCCATGGGCAGCCCGGCGCCCAGCCCCAGCCCCACCCTGGAGGCGCACGGGGTGCACGCCATGCACGCGGCTCACGCGGTGCACGCCGCGCACGCCGCGCACGCCCTCACGTCGGCCTTGAACCTCTCCGGCGTCGTGAGGGCCGGGCGCGCGAGCCGAGGCGCGAGCCCCGCCAGCGGAAGCGGCTCCCCCCTTCACGTCCCCTCGCCCGCCGGCTCGCCCGGGCCCGGGGCGCCGCTGCTCGCGCAACCCCTGGGCGCCCTCGGCCTCATCCACCAGGCGCTCGGCCACCAGGTGCACCACAACGATACTCTGCCATTGGCCGTGCCCGTTCCCCGCCTCAGTGTCAGCCCCACCCTTCCCATCAAGAAGAGGTGGTGCCACAGCCCCGAGCAGTCTTCGGCCACCACGCCGCCGCCCCTGCAGCTCGCGTCAGACGAGGATGACGACGACGAGGATATTGATGTCGACGGCGATGGCACCGAATCTGAAGCGAGCAGCGCCCTCGACTACACGACGGCCACCCTCAGCAAGCGCCGTTCCTTCTCGCTGCAGTTCAAGCTCGCCGTGTTGGACGCCTTCAGGGAGACGCCCCAGTGCCAGGGGAACCAGCGCGCCACCGCGCGCGCCTTCGGCATCAACCGCCGGCAGGTGCAGAAGTGGCTGGGCCAGGAGCCCGAGCTGCGCGAGGAGGCCGTCAGCCGGGGAGGACTCAACCGTCAACGCCTCGGCCGGTGGATGGACCAGGAGGAGTCCGAGGCCGGCTGCCTCGACCTCAGCCGCAAGCGGAAGCTCGACGCGGCTTCGGACCTGGACGACGCGGAGACCGAGGCGAAGAAGTCGCGGGTGAGGCCCTCCAGAGACGCCTCCAGCCCCGCGAGCCCTACCAGCCCCGCAGCAGTCGCCTCGCCCACCTCCTGTCCGAGGCCGCTCGCCCTGAGCGAAGTGCACCCCTCCCTTGCCCCCCACCCCCTGCTCTTCAGGCCTCAACCCCTTCCCCAACCCCTTCCTCTTATGCCCTCCCTCCCTCTTGCAATTCCTCACCTGCCATTTAACCTATGTGCCAAGCAGTACTCGGTGGATCTCAGTCTCAAGCTCAGCACTCTTGAGTACTTCAACGCTTACCAACAGAATTTACAGAAGTGTTTCAAGCCGGAGGACTTTTTGAAACCGGCTAACAATCCTTCGTTCCTGTTGAACTCCTTCCGGTGATAAGGAGGTAGTCGAACTTGTTATTTGTTGTTGAAGGAACGTGTTGATCTTCCCTGTACCTGTATTGTATAGATTAATTGTAGTTATTTATATTATATATTTTTGTATTGAGTGATGTGAAAGACATAGTGTAGGGTAGTTGATGATGGCTGTATGTACATGAATCTGCATTTTCAACTGAGAGGCTTAAGTTTGTTTAGCCATTGCCATTGTATGAGGACTCAGTATTTTAGGCTCATGCATGCAGGTGATTGAGCAGAAATGAAAGGATGTGTTGGTATCACTCATGACTGAACTTGTTAGGACATTTTGCCAGAACAAAAGATATTTATTCTAAGTGAAGCTCAAAAGTCATTTTATAGCCTTACTCAAGAATTCATTAGATAGATTGGATTTTTTTTTCTTACTGGAGAATTGCTCACTTTTCAGTGGCATAAGTTGAAACTTTGAAAGTAATTTACACCTTGCTCAATGGCATGTTGAAGATAATTTTCTATTCATAGTGCTGTGCTCACCTCAGATATGATGATTTTATCTGTGTATATACTGTTGAATTTTGTACCATAAACATACACTGAGTTGTACGAGAATTAACTTGTGGTACAAACATATGGCCATATTTTTACCATTGTGTGGTACGTCTAGCACTGAGTTCCTGCCTGTACCGCTGCTGCCATGCTTACGTTTAGTCCCTAGAACTGATGAGCCGCATGAGGCTACACAGGCTGTGCTCCTGTATCTCAATTGCGTTAATTAATTTTGCTCATTTTTTTTTTATTTTGGACTGTCATTGTATTCCACCATTCGTCATAGTAATTATATTTTCTCTTTCATAATTGAAGGTTTGTTATTGGAAGTTTCCAGTCAGCTTCAAAGATGTAAATTTAAAGTTTATATTTTGGATTATATTTACTCATAAGTGAGACTATTGACTACTCAATCTTGAAATTAAACCTGTGATAAGAGTTTGTAAGAAATATATTTTTAAATACTTGTAATTAGTAAATGTTTAACCAAATTTAGTCTTTATTACATTTGACAGATTTCAATTTGCAAAAGTATTGAGAGTTCTATCAAAAATTAATTCCAGTCCCTCTGTATTGACCGCATATGGAGTGGGACTTGGTGTACTGCACCATACTTGGAAAAAACTCATATAAAGATATATATTTATTATTTATTTGATTCAGATATTGTATGTACGTTATCTTCCTGACATCTTCTAAGTGCCTACTTGTCCTAAATGCCTTGCAACTGTCAATTTTCTGTTACAAGTATATTGTACATTTGCTTTTTTTCCCCTCTGGATGATATTCTTTACCAGTATACTTTTCTTTTATCAAAACCAACAACAGATTTGATTTTGTACTATTTTGGAAAACTTAGTCTTGTTGAGAACTGTATCTATACTTTTCATTTTCTGTAATTTTTCTGGGGTACTATTTTTTGTCCTGTTTGGGTTTCAATTAATTTTACTTGGGTGATATATGTTGATGCCATATGGATTTTCTTCGGAACTTCCAAATTTTTTGTAGGTCTGAAATTTTGTACAAAGAAGTCTGACTTTGTAAATGACGCTGATCAAACATAATGGTTGTACTTTTGTTAGACATTAATGTACCCATTCAGTCCCTCTACGTGATTCATATCAATGTGTTGCCTTTGCGACAATTATGTGCCTTGAATGAAATATACTATCTATCGATATTGAAAACTTTTGTGTTCTTCCTCATTACCAAAATTAACCACAATAAAATATGAAGCACAGAAATTTACAAATGAAATCTAGACTGGCAGACTGGAGATGTTCACAAACTATCAACTTCCACTTCAAACCACACTAATAGGAGCAGTCGTAAAACAAGTGTCCAGAACCTTCCGAATCGGACGTTAATTTTGCCACACATCCACGGCCGCTGACTGCTTCGCACCGCTGCCACCCTCGTCGCCCAGCTGCAACACCGCCTCCCTTTCTCCCACCCACCCCCTCGCTGGATGGAGACCTCGACGCGTGTTGGACCATGGACGCGCGAGATTCGCTACTGGGGGTGGGGGCGGGGACCGAGGGAGGATCGATTGGAAACTCTTCTGTCAGCCCCAGGTCAAGGATCAGCTGAGCAGTCCGACAACTAAGCCATGGGTAGCGAGCTGCAGTAAGCGTCGGGGTAGTTTGCTGTGAGAGGGAGGGGCGACCGGGGATAGTTTGTCTTTCCCGGACGACGATTTTAATTTTCCGACGCAATGTGTTAAAAAAGAGTTGGTGACCATAGCACCCCCTCCCCCTTTTGCTTCCCTTTTCTCAAATGCCCGTCTTGGGTTACCCGAGGCGCAACGACAATGTTGCTGCACAAAGTTGTCGGCTAGACGCGGCGTCATCCTGGCCCCGGGCCCTGCCCTGCTCACTAAAGAAGGTGTATCCTGCTTCGAAGATAAGGTTATCAGCCCCCTCCCCCTCCTGGCGCCAATCGGACATAAACACCGGCACCGCGGCGACCCGAGCGCGCCGCCGCCGCGTCAGGCGTCAGGAAAGATGTGCGTTCCAACTGAGCACGGTTAGCAACATGGTCGCTGCGCCTGCGCCCCGCATACTACCCGCAGCGCCCTGTGCCCTGCGCCCCGCACCCCTGTGCCCTGCGCCCCGCACCCCTACGACTCGTGCCCCGCACCCGCGCCCCCTTCATCTCGACGGGCAGGGGCTTTGTGCTGGTGGTGCCGCGCGGGTGCGAGGCGCGGGCCGCCCGCCGAGGTGAGGACGCGGCGCACCGCGGCGCACCCGGGTCATTAACATGCGCCGAGGCGGCCGCCAGCGCGCCCGCCAGCGCGCCGGGCAAACCTAACGCCAAGTGGAATTACGTTGAGTGAGTCACGGGCCCGCGGCGGCCCGCGGCGGCAGGTCGCGGGTCACGGCGCGACGGGGCCGGGGCGTGGGGGGCGCGGCTGGCGCCCGTGGGCCGCCCGGGTCGTGGGAGCAGGGCGACGCACAGTCTGGCCTGGTGGCACCTCAAACTTAGGCCTCGTTCGAACTGTATCGCGTGCGCTAGAGGGGAGCCTCTGGCCCTACAAGGTTTACCCCGGGCGGGCGTGGTGGATGGGTTGCCTACCCCCGCCGGCGCGAGTTCATCGCCCCCCGCTTAGCCCCGCTTTGTTTTGCAGGCGCGGGCGGAGGGTGAGGGCGAGGGCGCCCCCCCCCCCCCTGAATGCCCGGTGCGGCGCCGGGTCCCGCGTACGACGCGCAAGATATCCGCGAGCGCTATCAGGACACCTCTCTGGTCGTGTTCAAGGTTCGTGCAGCAGGCCAGACAACAACAGGACAACGGCACTGCCAGCGCAAGGAAATTGGCACGAGTGGTTGCACCGTAGTCTGTACTGCTTACGTACTGCTTGTCACTTTGGGGCACTGTGTTTTACTTGAGACCCCGCCGCACCCGCACAACATAGCACCGCTACTGAGTAGGTCGTAGTATAACCGCGGTAATGTGTGAGGAAAGTCGTGTCGTTACTGGTGCAGTTCACAAACCTCGCGATTTTGAATGGGGATGTAAGAGGGCCGGGG